CGACGCGGGATGTGCCGTCGGCCAAAGCCACGGGGCCGTCGGGAATCAGGGAGTTGTGGTCGGAAGCCATGGGCCGGAGCCCGCAGGTCCCTCTGGAAGCACAAAGCCATCACTGCCCTGCCCAGGGGCCGCTCAGGTCCCCTGTTGTCCCCCCACACTGCGCTGAGGGGCAGCAGGGCCAGGGACCCCCGAGGGCACGTCTGTGCCCCCGTTCTGCTGGGAACCCCCCAGTGTTCCCGAGCTCCCTCCCACATCCCAGGGCCACTGACCTGCAGCTGTCCCAGGTGCCACCCACAGGCCCAACCAGGGCCAGTAGGACCAGTAGCCACAGCCAAGCCATGGCTGGCAGTGCCAGGAGCGGGGGGTCACCTCCAGCGCAGCCCCCACGGCCCTGCCGGTGCCCCCGGGCCGGGGCTGATGTCACAGAGGGGCCGGTTCCATGGGCTGGGCGTGGTGGCCTTGGGATGGGGGGAGAGGGACAGCATGGAGTCATAGAACCCTGGAATGGTTTGGGTTGGAAAGGACCTCAACGACCACCCAGTGCCACCCCCTGCCATGGCAGGGACACCTTCCACTAGCCCAGGTGGCTCCGAGCCCTGTCCAACCTGGCCTTGGACACTTCCAGGGCTGGTGAGTGTTCCCAGGAGAGGGACCCTTGTGCCAGCAGCACACGCAGCCACAGCCTGGCCTGCGGGATCAGGGCAGGAGGCCCTGGGAGCAGCAGGGATGTGGGATCACAGCAGGCAGGTGCAGGCAGGGAGGGGCTGCCAGCAGGGAGGGAAGCACAGGGGACAGTCTGTCTGCCTTCCAGGAGAAGGGGCAGAGTCACTGATGCTCCCTGACATGGGGACAGCAGGTCCCAGAGCAAGGATCTGCCATTCCCATGGGAGGAGAATCAGCCAGGGATTGCCCACAGAGGAGGGCCCTGGTGTTCCTGGGCTGGGGGTGGTTCTGGGCAGGCATCCCGCAGCTTCCAGGTGGCAGATGGATCTGGGATGTCCCTCTGCAGCCCAGAACCACCCCTCACATGCCAGCTGGAGCTCTCTCTGATCCTGTTCCTGACATTATTTTCCACAGGCCGTGTCTGCTTCTCTCCATCTGCAGGCTCGGGCTGGGTGCCAGGGGGTGGAAAGAGGAGGCTGCTGCTTGGGCATGTGAGGCACCAGAGTCGGAGAGTGGCTGGAAGGGAGGGCTGGCAAGGGAGGAATTGCCACAGAATCACAGGTGGCTGAGGTTGGAGGTCACCTGGTCCAATTCCTGCTCAAGCAGGGTCAGATGCAGCAGCTTGCCCAGGAGCACAACCAGTTGGATTTCGAATATCTCCAAGGCAGGAGACTCCACAACCTCCCTGGGCAGCCTGTGCCCATGCTCAGTCCTCCTCACAGGAACTAAAGTGGTTCCCTGTGTTTAGGTGGTATTTCAGAGTGTTTTTTTTTAATTTGTGCCCATTGCCTCTTGTCCTGTCACTGGACAGTGCTAAGAAGGATCTATTTCCCTCTTCTCCCTCCCATCTTGATCCTGGTACCCACTGACAAGATCCCCCTGAGCCGTCTCTTCTCCAGCCCCAGCTCACTCATCCTCCCCTCACAGGAGGGATGTTCCAGTCACCAGCCACCAGAATCACCCTTTGGTGGACTCTCTCCAGCACATCCACGTCTTCCTTGTTCAGGGGAGCCCAGAACTGGACACAGCACTCCCGGGGTGGTCTCACCACTGCTGAGCAGAGAGGAAGGATCACCTTTCTCCTGGCAACCTCCAGCACAGCCCAGGGTGCTGCTGGCTGTGGTTTGTGCCATGAGCTTGCTGTCAGCCAGAACTCCTTTCTTGGCTTTCTCCCTGCCTTCTCCTGGTGCTGTGAGGTTATTCCTCCCCAGGACTTGGCGTTCCCTGGGTTGAACTCCACGAGGTCGCAGCTCCGTTCTCTGCTCTAGATGGCAGCAAATCCATCTGCCGGGCGCGTCCCTCCTCCCGGTTTGGAGTCAGAGAAATCTGGAATCACAGAATATTCTGAGTTGGGAGAGACCCCCAAGGATCATCCGATCCAACTCCTGACCCTGCCCAGGGCACCCCAACAATCCCACCCTGTCCCTCAGAGCGTTGTCCAAACCCTCCTGGAGCTCTGGCAGCCTTGGGGCCGTGCCCACTGCCCTGGGGAGCCTGGGCAGTGCCCAACCACCCTCTGGGGGAAGAACCTTGTCCTGAGATCCAACCTGAGCCTGCCCTGGCACAGCTCCAGCCGTTCCCTGGGTGCTGTCCCCGGTCACCAGGAACAAGAGATCAGTGCCTGCCCTTCCACTTCCCCCCACCAGGACGTCGCAGACTGACCCTGCAAACTCGCTGAGGGCGTGCTCTGCCACATCATCTGAGTTATTAATGAAGATGCTGAACAATATTGGCCCCAGTTTGACCCCTGGGCTACCCCACTGGTGACTGGCCTCCACCAGGGCTTGGTACCACTGCTCACAACCCCCTGGATCCAGCCATTCAGCAAATTTTCAGTCCACCTCACCTCGTCTTGCCTGTTAGGGTGCCTGTGAGAACACAGCCAGAAAAGCATTAATAAAACTGAGCCAAACAGCATCCCCTGCTCCCTCCTCATCCACCAACCACTCCTCCTGTCCTGCCAGGCTGGCAGGTGAAGCACAATTTCCCCTTATAAACCCAAGCTGCCCCTGGGTAGCACCTTCCCTGCCATCTGCACCCGTTTCTTGGCTGACTTTGTGCATAAGCTGAGGCAGGGGAACCACCCTGCAGTGGAAAAACGGGGTTCAGCTGCCTGTGCTTACCCCGGGCTGCAGAGCAAGGTGGTGCTGGCTATGAAGGGAGAAGGGCTCTGCCTTTCCTGCCCAGCCCCTGCCTGGATTCTGTCCGGATTCTGCCCAGCCCCTGCCTGGACCTTGCCTGCATCCTTCCCAGACTCTGCCTGGACCCTTCCCAGCCCCTTCCTGGCCCCTGGCCAGCCCCTCCTTTGGCACACACGGATGGATCCAGCCTTTGGCACCCCCAATGTCTGGGTAGGTCTCCCCGGAGAAGCTGAACACTCACTTTGCTCCCCAAACCCAGCCCCTGGGTTCTCCCCAGGAAAGTTAAACGGTTCTGTTTGAGCCACGAAGCTCCTGGGAACACCCGTGCAGTCATTCCTGGGGAGCCAGGGAGCAGCAGGAAGCTCTGGAGCATCCCTGGGCTCTCCCTTCCCAGGTGGGACCTGCCTCCTCCCACCGCAGCTTCCTGGGTGGGCACTGCCAAATCCCAAGGGAAGAGGGACCACAGGATTAGCTGGTCACCTTTGCCAGGAAAAGC